TTATAATCTTATTCATTTCTGTTAAGAATTGCTTTGGTGGCTTCAAGGCAGTGAGGGAGTAGATTGGTATGGAACTTAGCACATATGAGACTAGTGTCTTTCGCCGTGCTTACTGGATTAGTTTCCCTTTCCATTCCGCAAGCCTTGATTGCAACTTGTCCATGACTAGTTGCAGGTGAATTCTCTTAATGTGGCTTGTGGTGAGCGGCAACCCTAAGTATGTTATGGGGAAGCTGTCTCTTTTCCCATTGAAGTTCTCCGGTATTTCATCCCTCTTAGTAAAGTACTTACTCCGTCCCACAATACTTGTCTTTCTAGATTGTTTAGCACAAATTAAGATTTGAGAAGTAAAGACTATATTGCCCCTTATTTGAATGGAAGTAAGAGAATGGTGAGGGTAGAATGGGTATAAATTTGAATTGGAGGTGACTGATATGGCAAGTAGTACTCTCAAGTTACAAGTATTGTGGGACAAAACTTGAACTCCAAAAAGATAACTATTTCGGGACCGAGGAAGTAGTAGGATGCTGAACACATCCAATTAGCATGTACTGAAATTAATTGGCCATCACAGAGTAATGGGTGCATGCTCATCCAGATATGCACATCTCACATGTGTAGCAGCGAGGCGCCTGTAGTGACTTCGTCAATCTCAAGAATTTGCCGGCCCAGTTTTCGTAGATGCTCATAGGGGTAGGGTTTACGTGCGTGCGTTCATAGGGGTGAGTGCGCGTGCGTTGTGAGTGTCTGCATTGTACTGTGTAATTTTTTTTTTAAAAAAAACTAGCGTGCAAAGAGTCACTAGTGGTGTACTCCTTAGCAACTGCTACTTGGGGGCCAGGGCGTATATATGTGTGTACTACTAAAAAGCAACACTACTTTTTTCCTTTCAGAACTAACACTACCTCAATTAATGTGTACACAGAAACAACTTGCTAAGTAGAAGAAACATATTTGGAAGCATTTACATACGACGTTAATCTTGTAGCTGGTGATGACATATTATGGTCCTAGAGCAAGTGTAATAGGATAGTCAACTACTAGTTCCAAATCATTTATAGTAATTTTAATAGCTAATTCATATAATAATTACCCATCAATATATAGTACACTATTAATATCTGGTCCTACCTGTCATACACATATTGTGCCTTGGAGCTCATGTTGCAGCTGGCTACAAATTAATTTGTAGCATGCTACTCATCTCTCTCTTCTTTCATCTTCTTGATATGTGTTAATAGCCAGCTTATATATAGTCTGCTATTGTACATGCTCTTATGCATCGAACACCGTATAAAAAACTAACACACCATCTTACATTTTTTTCCAAGGAAGTGAATAATTAATCGTAGCACAGGAGTGAATTGTTACAGATAGGGATAAAACTACCGAAATGTGTGAGAGAGAGAGAATGGGTAACAAATTAAATCCTCTTAACCTGAGATCGCTAATCCTCAACAAACAAGCAAACAAAAGGGAGAAGACTAGAGATCGGACGTCTGATCCTAGTCAAAACTCCGGACGGTGTTTCACTATGTATAAAACAATGTTTCATACCTTACTTAAAAAATGTTTCAACAAAAAATGTTTTAGATGTTTCATTACTTGGTAAAAATGTTTCTTCGCTTGGTGAAAAATGTTTCAATTAGATGCAAATAGATCGAGACATCAAGATACTACTACGTGCAACATCAAAGAAACATGGTGTGTCATGTGCAACATTCGAAAATAAGAGAATGAAACATTCGAATACAATAAAATACAACAAAGATACAACATCAAAGAAATATGGTGTGCATCATGTGCAACATTCGAACACAAGAGAATGAAACACTAGAATACAATAAAATGCAACAAAGATACAAAATAGACTGCAACAAACCTGTAGCCTGGATCCATTTGCCTTGCCGTCACTGACGATGGCTACGCCACCTCTTCTCGCCGCCGCCACCATGGCTGCTAGTGGCCAGGTCCAGTGCCTCCTTCCTCTCCGCGTCGCCTTGTCACCGCCGCTGCCGCCGTGGCCGCCGGCGACGATGGTTATGCCACCTCTTCTCGCCGCCGCCGCCGCCATGGCTGCTAGTGGCCAGGTCCGGCGCCTCCTTTCTCTCCGTGCCGCCTTGCCGTCACCATGGCCGCTGGCGACGATGGCTCCTTCCTCTTCTCGCCACCGCCACCATGGCTGCCGGTGCCCAGGTCCGACGCCTCCTTCCTTTCCACGTCGCCCTGGTGCCGTTGTGCTGTGGTCGCCGGCGACGACGCCATCTATTCTCGTCGCCGCTGCTACCAGCGTTTACCGTGAGAAGATAAATGAGAGGATAAGAATTAGGAAGAGACGTGGGTTGAAAAAAATTGACAGTGGGTCCCACCATGAGCGCTGTCCGACGTTTCGTCTCCTGTCGAACGCCCGGTTACAAGCATTTTCCAAACAAAAGAGGCTACTAGTACTAACGGATTGCTCCTCTCATCTACCCCCAACGCAAGCAGCAATTTTTTTTAACGATAGCCAAAGCTTGCCTACTCATTAAATATAATGGGTAAATTTACAAGTAAGGAAAAAAATAATATTACAGCACAACGGTCTGGATCTACGGTAACATCTTTGCCAGGCGTTTGGCTCCCGCCATAATCCAAAATTCGCCCTCTTCCTTTATCTTCGCGATTAGGGCTAACGTGGGTTAGCTCCTTGTTTTGGAAGACTCGCTGGTTTCGCTCCTTCCAAGCTTCTCAAAGAGATTAGAAAGATTAGGGATCGACTCCTGTGCTTGGGTGCATCTTGCTGTCTTGACATGTTGCAAGCGATTCCCACCAGTGGTGGACTATGGTCGCTCGCGCGTCCAGTTTGTCGGTCCTATGGGTTCATAAGCTAATACTCAGGTAGCAATGGTATCCCAGATTTTCCTTGTATATCTGAAATCCACTTCTGATCTGTGCAGCAGTTGAGGGAGAGGGAGAGCACGCGCGAGCGTAGTCCGGAGTTTGCACGGCGGCCCATCCGCGAATATCTCAGTACCGACCTGTACTACCTGTACTCACCCGGTCACCCCCCCCCCCCCCCCCACTCCCACGGCGTGGTGGCAGCGTACACCCCCTCTTCCTCTCCCCTTCACTACAAGTAGTCCCCACTGAGATCGAGAGCGTAGGTAGCCTCGCCTTCTCTCTCTCTCTCTCTCTCTCTCTCCGGGTTTCTTTTTCCTTTCTTGTCGCTGCTGATATCTTTGAGGCGGTTACACCTCCGAGCTGGACACCCACCCCCCAGCTCTGCTCAGCCGCCCGCGCGCCTCCCCGACGACGACCGGCCGCCGTGTGTGGCTCCTCGTCCTGTGAGGTAGGTGAGATTGGTACGCGCGTGTCGTCTCCCCTCCCCTCCACCTCCGCTAGCTTCTTCTTCGTCTCTCTCCCGGCCGTCCGGCATGTGGTTGATCTATCTCTGCTCGTGCGTGCTCGCGTGGGGTTCTTGGTATCTCTCCGGTAGGGTTTATGGGGGGAGGTGGGTTGGTGCGGTTTCGGAGCTGGGAAATCCGCTGCGTGCTGCTCCTGCTTGCTTGCTTGCAACCGCGGGGTTTGGGGAGGGATTGGAGAGGGAGAGCTCGATCGTGCGGCGCCGTGTTGGATAGATCGTCTCTTCTTTTCAGCTTCCTGTAGTGTAGGTCCTGTATATGTTCTTGCTGTGATATTCTGCTTGACCACCCGCTGTTTCTTTCTGGTTCTTCTTGGGTTTCTTGCTGCAGAGAGTTAGTTAGTATACGCTCGATCTCGTTGATATCGATCTGAGCTGCATTTCTTTTTCCTTCTTCTCCCTGTTGATTCTGCTGCTGCTGGAGCTGGGTCTTTCTTGGGATCTGTGGGAGCGGATTGGATTGGTTCCTCTCCCTGGGCTGGTCTTACTTTTATCGTTTCCGATCTTGCCGGCCGTTTCTCCTGCAGGCACACCGACGTGACGTGATGAATCCTCCTCTTCTCCTCTCCTCTCCACCGTCCGGGTTTGAGTGCAAGATTTAATTCAGTGCCTTTTCCTTGGTCAGCTTTTCTTGATCTTGAATCTCTCTCTCTCTCCTGTTTAATGTGGTTGCAGTTGTTCACTTCTTGCCGTTTTATTCTTGCCACTGCTTCAGTGTGGATCGGTTCTTCTGGGGTGGGGGGTGTTGCTGGATTTTTCGTTATTTGATTCCCTTCTTAACCTGAGGTGGATTTGCAGCTGGTTACCTTTGGGTTACCATCTAATACTGCCAGTTTCCATTTATTCCTTTCCACTAGAGGTCCATGCAAAGAAATCGATACAGGTCCAGGCCTTTCCATCCTCTTTTGCCAAAAACAATCCCGATCTAGTTTTAATTAGTGTATACATTCCATTTAATTCGCCTGGTCGATCAGTGGTCACTAGGGGGGGGGGGGGGGTGTCATGCACGCCTTGGCTCAGCTCCTGTAGCTTAGCTAAGCTAGAAATCGTTAGCTTTTCATTCAGTGTGCTTGACTGCTACTACTAGTAGTAGTGCACTTCTCAGGTTGGTACTGATCTCTAGGCTTCCAGTACGCTTTTGTCAGAGAAAAGGCTGCAGGAGATCACCTGTCACTTGGGTACATGCAGCATGGAGTGAGAGCTTTCACTCTCATCCTACTTGTGTGCTCTCTCTCCATGCATGTTCTCGTTACTTTACTGGAAGTAGATGATTTTTTTCGCATTCAGCAGCTTTGCTGCTTTTTACTACTACTGGAATATACATATGTGTGACTTATTACATTACACCCTGAGAATGTATTAAAAACATCCATGGTTCACTTCAGCTGGTTCAGCTACTCAGTTTGAGATGTAATTGGATCTCTTTTGTGGTGTGCTTTTATTTGCTGATGAAGTTGCCATTATTTCATGCTTTTTGAAGTTTTTCCTCTTTGTCTATAAATTGGTGCTTCTATCTAAGAATATCTTGATAGTTACTAAATAATGTTCATATCTGATTGGTCACCTTCCTTGTTTTTTTTTGCAGGATAATAACAATAAAAAGAAGAAAGGGGATTTGTCCAAGTGAGGCTTTTAAGATTCTCTCTGGTGTCTCGTGTTCGTTTCAGTTTCTTGGCTGTGTGGCATAATTAAAGGAGCATATTGAGGTTTAACTCGCTTGGCTAAGCTGCCCGGAAACGGATACAACCACCATCAGAGAAGCATACACACCACCATTAACCACCTCTCTGATCAATTCAGTAACCTCGATCTCAGCTCATCACCTCTTCTCATGGACTCTCGAGGTCAAGCCTACTACCACAGGGCGGCGGCAGCGGCGGCGGCGGTGGCCGCCGGTGATGCTACTGACGGTGAGGAGCCAGCTGCTGCTGAGCTCGCTCCGAAGGCTGTGAGATCGAAGAAGAAGCTGGCGGTGGAGGCGCAAGGCGGCGCCGCCGTGCGCGATGATCTGACGTGCCCAGAGTGTGGCAAGGTGTTCATGTCGGACAAGGCGATGTACGGACACCTGCGATCTCACCCACTGAGGAAGCACAAGGGGGCGGCGCGCCTGGCGGCGGTGGCGGCGGCGGCGGCCGACGATGCTTCCGTGGCCGCTGGGGTCAAGCCGAGGCCGTGGAAGGTGCCACGGACGAAGGAGGAGGCTGAGCTCGGCGACGACCGCCACCCGGGGAGGTCGCCGGTGACGGGGAAGCGCGGGCGGCCGGCGTCCTCGGCCAGTAGCAGTGGCAGCGCGCCCGCGCCCGCGCCGCCCGCGTCGTCCAGGCTGCAGCTGGTGATCACGGAGGAGGAGGAGGCGGCCATGACTCTCCTGGACATTGCCTCGGGGTGCTCGCTTGATCACCAGCCTACGCAACCGGCGCATGTCGCCGACGCCGCCCTCCTGGCGCCGGCTTCGGACCAGATGCCAAGCGTCGACGTCGAGCAAGGCGTCCTCGCCGTCGCGGAGCACAGGACGTGGGAAGCTGAGAAGCCTGCGCTGGTCGAACATGTCTTTGGGATCGTCAAGGAGCATGTCGCCGCGGTCGCCGCCGACGCCGAGCCGCAGTCGCCGGAGGCGAAGACGCCAGTGAAGCTGGGGCCTGTGACCGATCAGGCTGTCCCTGTTCTCGGCGACAAGAACGACGACGGCCACGCCGACATGCCCGTGTCCCCCGGAGGCGGCACCACCAAGAAGCCTTTGAAGCGAAGACTCCAGGACGTCGAGACGAAGCATCCCACAGCACCGCCACCGCCGCCGGTGAAGCGCATCCCGTCGCCGGCGTCGAAAAGGAAGTACGAGTGTTCGGAGTGCCACAAGACGTTCTCCACTCACCAAGCCCTAGGCGGTCACGTAGCGGCCCACAAGAGGCAGAAGAAGAGCTGCGCCGAGCAGCAGCAAGAGGCGGTGGCGGCGGCGGCGCAAGTCGCGCGGCACAACTTCCTGGCTCACCAGCGCCCGGCCGGCGTCGTCGTCGCCGTCGACGCCACCGTCGTCGCTGCTGCCGGCGGCGGTATCGCCATCGGGCCTCTCGGCGAGGAGGGCTTGGTCGGCCCACCGCCGCCGCCGCCGCCGCCACCGCCGCCGCCCGCACCCGCGCCTGCGCTCGCGCCCGCGCCGCAGCAACACCAGTGCTTACGGTGCCCCATGGTCTTCCCCACCGGGCAGGCTCTCGGCGGCCACATGCGGAAGCATTTTCTCGAGGCCAAGGAGCAGGAGCAGCTGCTCGCCATCGACATCGCCAACGCCAACGCCAACGCCAACGCCAACGCCGCGCCGGGGCCGCCGCCGATGATGGCCAACGCCGCGCCAGTGCCGCCGCCGTCGATGGCCAACGGCGCCGGGCCCGTGCCGCCGCCGATCGCCGTCGCCCCTCCTCCCGCGCCGCCGATCGCCGGAGCCGCTCCTCCTCCGCCCATGGCCAACGGCGCCGCGGCGGCTGCGCCACCGGGGGGCAACCCGGCGCCACCTGCTGGGCCGCAGCCGGGCGTGAACATGTTTGACCTCAACGAGTTGCCCAACGAGGATGCAGGGGAGAACCAGCAACCCTAGATAGCTTAGCCTTGGAACGTTGGTCTGCGTCGAGGTTCGTGCTACTACAGGAAAGCATCCTATCATTGCATTATTATTCTACTAGTCGTCCTAGCTTAGTGACTTTGTGTGAAATATCAATTCTTTTTTAGGGGGTTTACGATGTTTGATTAATTTGTCAGTGCCTTCGAATATACACAAAGCTCCAAGTCCTGTCTGAATTCTTATGTGGCAGCTCAGTGCGAATGTAAAATCTGCAGGTTAATTTTGTTTTGGATAATTTGGGGTATCAACTTGGCTACTTGATATGGTGTTGACAATAATGCTCAGATCAGGATAACTGATCTTGCATACTGTTTTCGTTGTGGTTGCTTCGGAAAAAAAAGTTTTGATTTTTTTCTTTCAGAGATTTCATATAGCTGCGGCTGTCTGTTCATATGGCTTTCCTTGAGTTTACTAACGGTAACAGTTTTGACTATTACCAAATCAGGGCTATTTCTCATAACAAATGGTCCATTCCAATCAAATACCCCCACAATCCAAAGATAGCAACCGATCAAAACAAAAATCTATTCTTTAAGCAGTTCAACTCCTGTGAAAAAAAATGTTTTGTTACTTTTTTTTAAACGAATCGACGAGCCGCCAATTTCATAAAAAAAATATTTTCTTCTTTTCGATCATCCGAGAAGAATAGCATCACCTTAATTATCGTGGTGCTTTTTCAGAGTTTGTACCTGCCACTGTTATTACTGTCTAAGTGTTCCATTGCGCCTGCCTACGCAGCAGTGCACAGCCAAAAAATCAGAAGTTGGACTCTCTCTAAACATCAGTCAGCCAAACACAGAACCTGTGCTATGAGACTATCTAAGGCCTTGTTCGGTTACATCTAGATTCAATCCGGACCGGAAATGAGAAGTATAGTAACAAATTTATGATAGATGTAATAAGAGACCAGTATTTATTCCGGACCGGTAACCAATTTAGGCCTCGTTTGGCTGCCCGTGTATATTATACATGTGTGAATAGTTCCACCCGTGTATTGAGTGAATCCACACCACCCACCCAATACACAACATGATTCAATATAAAAGGGGGGGGGGGGCTGGTGGTTCGACCGGTGATGCCTAGGTTTGACTCCACAGCAAGTACGTAGTGCTAGCTAAACTAGTGGTATGCATGAAGAGTTGGGCAGAGGTAGGTTTATCTTTTAGGTCTCGTTTGTTAAGTAAAAAATTAATATAAAAAATACAGAAAAACCTAAGAAATAAAATACCAGAATAGAAAATCCAACATGTATATCCATCTGTAATTCTAAAAATCCTGCTTTAAATTTTTTTTAAAAAAACACAAGAGTAGAATTTCGCATAGAAAATAGAGAAATTAACATGCATGCACATGGATGAACATGTTACTGATCCATGAAATATTTATAGGTGAACTAGAATAATTGATTCAACACAAATCTTCCAGGTAGAAACAGCACACACCAGACATACACATCCAAGCATATATGACAGTAATAAATAACTTTGATAGCTAAGTCTACCACAGAGATTTAATTTGAAGTCTACTAGGTGTTCCATCTACGAATAATTTCTTTGACATGAAACATCCAAGCAAAAGATAGACAACTCCAACAGCAGCATATCTCCCTACTTTCCATTGCATCTTTTTTCCATGCATCACCTGAAACAAAGTACAAGGAAAAAGATTAATGAGTAAATTTCACAAAACTACAAGTATTTTAACCAAATTATCACAAAACTACAGATTTAAGGAGTTGTATCACAAAACTACATATTTAGCACAAAATTTATCACAAAACTACATATTTTAGATTAAGTATCATAAAAATGCATATTCAATATTGAACTTATCACAAAACTACAACTTTAGAGTTTAAATCCCTAGCACCATTGTTATAGTGGAGCTATAAACATCATTACTTTGTGATTAAATTGATTCTAAACCTGTAGTTTTGTGATAATTTAGTTACTAAATATGTAGTTTTGTGACACTTTATCTTAAATGTGTAGTTTTGTGATAAATTTGGTGTTAAATGTGTAGTTTTGTGATACATCGAGTTAAATCTGTAGTTTTGTGATAATTTAGTCATAGTATATGTAGTTTTGTGGAATTTACTCAAGATTAATTGGCTCCATATCTGCCGTGGCAAACTGACTGCTAGCAACAGAGGGAAACTAGAGAAAAGAGCTAATAAGGAAGCTTGCAAATAAGGAAGCTTGCAAATTCCTAGGACAAGAGCACTAAGGGTGTGTTTGAGGAGAAGGAGATTGGGAAGATATGTAAAACGAGGTGAGCCATTAGCGCATGATTAATTGAGTATTAACTATTTTAAATTTCAAAAATGAATTAATATGACTTTTTAAAGCAACTTTCCTATATAATTTTTTTTTTGCAAAAAACACACTGTTTAGTAGTTTGGGAAGCGTGCGCACGGAAAACGAGGTGCTTTCTCACCCTATATCACACAAACGAACGGAGCCTAAGGGACTAAGAAAAGTTGGAGCAAGATGAAATTAATTGTGCATTTTACAAGCTATATCTTGATAAATAAGTACAAATGCTTATATTTTGGAACGGATGTAGTACATTTAAACAAATTCACTCTGTGCATCTTCAAATTTGAATAGATAAACTCACTCCAAGTATCAGCGTTATCATTCATTCAGCAAATTCAAATCATGCTTTCAGAGCCCAGTACTGCTCACCCGGAGAGAGCAACAATAATATATTAGAATATATGTATATAAAAGTATACACTCCCCAAAAAACAAAAGAGCATGAATAATATGTAAGGCATAATGAGCATCATTTTTAGCATAAATAATACACCTGCATCTCAGGTGATGCTGCAATGTGAAAATTACAAATGTATCATCTGCCAATCTGCTCAACATTTACCCCCAAAAAATAGTTTTGCTGAGCATCACTGAATTGAAGTTTTAGGTGATACAACAAACAAAATCAAACTGTTTAATATGACTAAAGTGTAGTACTAATTAATATATTCATCAGTTTCATAGAGGCAATAACAAGACGGAAGGAGCAGTACCAGATTTACGCAGTTGTAATCTTCCTCCTTAACCACTTGAGTCGTGTAGAGTCTTTTGCAGTCATGAAAATGGCCCTGTTTTGTGGATCTTTGAAGACATCATAAGCAAGGACCTTCTCATCATCCGACATATCTTCCATGCTGTCCACAACAGCAATGCATACTGGGATCGGGAACTCATCCTCATGCACATTACTTCTTGCCCTTTCCTGCTGCATAATTTCAGTCTCGGCTTGCTTCTCTTTAAACTCCAGAAATTTTCCCATCATCTCAACAACTTTCCCATCCTGGCGACGCCTTTGTGTTGCCTTTTCTGTTTTGTCACTTGTACCAGCATGCTTGTTTGTTGCACTTGCAACTCTTTTTCCCATTCTTGACCTTGTAGTGGCATCACTTGCAATTGGCTGTTCCACTATTCTCAGGTCATCATCACTTTCAGCATTGTGTACATGAGAGTCAAAAGGGAAATTCTCATCTTCTCCCATAAAATGTTGTGTGACAGTAGCTTGAGAAGTTTGAGAAGGCTGTGTGAGAGGAATATGAGAAGGTTGTGTGACAGTAACTTGAAAAGGCTTTGTGATAGGAACTTGGGAAGGGGCAATGGAGGTGAAGTTCATGGTTCCCTCGGCAGTATGTCCTACAACAGAAAGTGAAGTCAAGTAATGTTTAGGAGAACTGAATAGAACATGCTTGGCTGGTAGGAAAATAAAGATTCAACAATGGTGACATACCATCATATAGCTCTCCTAAAGCCTCAAACAATGGGAAAGATTTATTCCGAAATTTTTTGGCCTTAGGATGAGACTGTTTATTGAATACCAGAAAGAAAAGTAATTAGCAAATGAAATTAAAGCAAGAACTATATTTAAGAATTTAACAAGAATTAACAGCAATGAGAGACAAGAAATCTCACAATAATGATGTTATTCCAAACAGCTTCATCTCCTTCAATCCTGCACAGCTTATCATCCCAGGACACACCACTTTGTTTTCTCGCTTCTTTTAGAACTCTATATTCCCTCTTCAACTCTCTCTCTCTTTGTCTTGAATTTGAACCTTTGTAAAATTGACATAGGGGAACTTCTCATGGAAGGATTTGACTATTCGGTTCCATGCTTCTGTGGACCACCCATTCTGACTCCTATAGCAGTCGTTGTTGTGATCATGTAGTAGGTCAACCAAAGCTTTTTCAAGTCCTGCATTCCAACTAGCTCTTGAACGATCAAGTACAGCTGGAATAGAGAACCACACATAAGCTACAGATAATTACATGTTTTTAATCTATCAACCTACTGAACTTGAGAAGCCCATATGTGCATTTAACATGACAAGAAAAAGCCCATACCTTTTGGCGATGCCTTTTTCTTTTGATGTCTTGAAATCTTTGGAGATGGCTTTCTTTGGACAGCTGCAGCTTGGATTAAATTGAACTTTGGGGACCCTCTTCCAAATATTGTTGCTGCGAATACAAAAAAAAACCGTTATCAAATTTAAGTATGCAAAAACATCATGATGCAAATACAAAAGTAAAATATTTCATGAGACCAGTTAAGACTCACATTTATTAAGACGAGTTATGACAGTAGTCATTCCACATATTTAGGGCTATCATATCTCTAACCGCGTTTCCATCATCTACTTGACTGTTAAGGGACATCACATCATTACTATATTCGTCGTCACCTTCAGGGACATCAATAAACTTTTCTGGAGATATGTTGCTTCCTTGGTGATTCAACCAACCCTCATCCCCATTAAGCATCCGTATAAGATTGTGGAACACCACTGTGGCAACTGGAATCTTCACTTGGTTTTCAATAGAATGATGCGTTCCAACTTTTAAAATAGGGAACCGTTTCTTAAGAACACCAATTGCTCTCTCTATGTGATTCCGCAATATGGCATGCCTATGATTGAACAACTCCTTACAATTTCTTGGTCGTTGCTGTCCACGCCCAAATTCTTTCAGATGGTATCGAACACCACGGTACGGTGCAAGGAAGGATGGCGTGTTAGCATATCCACCATCAACGAGATAATATTTGCCTTGAGGCACATTGAATCCTTTAAGCATGGCTGACCTAAGAACCCTAG